CACTCACTCACTCACTCACTCACTCACTCACTCACTCACTCCCTCACACCCTCACACTCTCACACTCTCACACTCTCTCACTCTCTCACTCTCACACTCTCACACTCTCACACTCACACTCTCACACTCTCACTCACACTCACAGTCACGGTCATGGTCACAGTCACACTCACCACCACCGCCGCCTTTACCACGATCTCCACCTTCATCACCACCATCAATGCGTCTAGATCTCCAGACTTTCTGCTGCTACACCTCTAGACCTCTTACACACTGTTTGGGGTCTTTTGCCGGGATAATTTCTTGTGCTTTGTTTTTGTTTTGGAGATGCATGGGTCGGTGAGGAAAGACAGTTTCTAGATTCTAGCTGAGTGAATAAAGCTTTTGTACGAACACTTTCACATCCAGCAGGCAATCCTTTCATGGTATCCGCTTGTACTTCTTGATCTGCAGGCTGGGAAGAACGGATTCCCAATTTATACCTTTTGGGGGGTAGGCCGCTAGTAGAGGTAGTAGCTAGGTAGGTAGCTAGTAGTAGCTAGGTAGCTAGTACCTACAAGTAGCTACTAGTATGGACGCAGGATAGCGCTCGCACTAATGATTTGGTTCCTAGATTTTTAGGGAAACTTAACTAGCTCCTGACAAACTCTGGTGTTGCTGCGGTGCCAGGTCATCCCACGTCAGAAGACAGTGCCCATGTTTGTTTGTACTGTTCCTGACTTGCACAGTTTTCTCAGTCGCACTAAACCCGTCCGACACAGGTATGCGATGCTAGAGCCATCTGTTTTGGAGGAAGAACGACAGACCGTCGCATTCCTTCTGTTCGGATTCTAAGAGGGGTTTTGGAAGTCGCCCAGTTTCCCGACAAGATTTCTGTAGGTCCGTCAGACAGCGGACCTTGGTATAGGTCCTTGCTGTCATCCACAGGGCTGCCCTGGCATTTTGCTACCACTCAGTTGCTTTTTGAGGTCAGTTTCGAGGGACCAACACTGCATCTTGCTGCGGGCGATGGCACAGGCAAGTAGCTTAGTTGAAGTCGTATGCAGTAGCCTTTTGCAACAACCACTCTTTGGATATTTGTGATATCTGTCATGTTTGTTCAGTGTCATGGTACAAGAGATGTGTATAATGGACTGAAAGGGGCAACACCCCGTGTTGGTGAAATCTGGATGGAGGTTGATCCTTTGGCTTTCCGTTTTGGTGGAACCAATATCAACGAACAGCCGAGGACGTGCAAAGTTGGCTGATGTGGCAGTCGAAGGCAGCTTGATGCATTTTCATCTTCGAACGGGTATCAGATAGGATATGATGGAAAGTATTGGGAATGAGATAAGTGATAAGGGGCTAAGTTGAGGTTCACTGCTTGGAATGCGTGCTTTTCTTTAAGACACGCTGGAGGCCTTCACCAAGCGTCGGACGGAGTGGAAGCAGCCTCAGAGTGGCCGGTCGCGACGGTTGTGACCTGGTCGCGTCGGTGACCAGGTCTGATGAGCGAAAGAGGCGATCCCAAAAGCGGCGATCACCTGCAAGGCCGAGCCCCAAACGGACCGGGTACGTTTCCTTTTTGTTTTTGTGCGCAGCATTGGTGAGATGTTGTAGATGTAGCAGAGATCAACACTACAGGAATACATGGCCTTAGAGTCCTTGAGAGAGAGAGAGCGAGAGAGAGTGATGTTGTTGGATGCTTTGCGAGGTTTTTTGCCCTTTTGTTTGCAGGCCGACACATCCGGCGGAAGAGCAGGCAACAGATTTGCTTGACCCTGACTGCAGGGTCATATAGAAGTAGGTGCAGTGGATGCATTAGGTCTACGAGTCTATCACCTTCTTGTTGAGAATTCGTTAGGGCAGATCCCCGTTGGGTCGTCGGGTCTCCCGACCGATGGTGACCGATCGGTTGCCATATGCCTGTTTTGCATTTTGTTGGAAGGTGGTCGAGCCTTGCAACCCATCTTCAGGCGGGCTCACAGATTCTCTTTCCAAGTGATCCACTCTTCAGTAGCCAAGATGGATCTTGCCAGCAAGGTATGAGGTTGAAGAAAACACTCATGGAAGTGGATGGCCCCGATTTCGGATGACCATGAAATCCTCTCTACCAACAGGTGGTTTTCCACTGTCATCATTTCTTTGAGTGTAAGAGTTTGGGCTGGTGGCTATGAAGCTCCAGAAGAAACTCCTTCGAAGCATCGACAGGTTCTTTGCAACCTGTGGGGCTTTTCACGGCGGGTGAGGTGCAACGAAGTTCCGTTTTTTTGCCGCCAAAGCTGTGCAAGCTGAGCCGAACGGTGTTCAGGCTGTTTGGATGGCCCACTCACTGCTCGTTTTGGCAATTGCCCTGTGCCTTGTGGTCAGAGCCTGGGCGTATTTGTAGGGACAAACATACTCAGTAAAATCAACCAGCGCTGTATCCAAGCAAGTTTGCAGATCGTCTGATAGCACTGCTCGGGGTGGAAAAATAATTTCCAGCCAATGACCCATTGGACAGCGATGGCGTACGTGGGCCACGGTCCCACGGTCCCACGGTCCCTGGATCTTTCACTCGCATCCATTAAGTGGATCAGTGGATCCTTCCATCCGGTGACCGGTGCCTCGGTGCCTCGCTGGCTCGGTGGACCGACGTAGTGACCGAGGCTTACTGGAATTCGCTGGAGCACACACCAGCGTCTCAAGCTGTCGGGGGCCGAAGAGCTCAGGAGTCAGCCAACCTGAGGAGGGTGATTTTTCAGGAGTCAACCGATTTGTACAGGAGTCAGGTTGGTATTCGCAAGATCGAAGTGATTTTTGGATCAGTTCATCAATGGTTCTGAAAGAGATGTGGCCAAGTGGTCAAACACTTTCTTCAAATACTTCCCAGTCATTTGATCACCTGGACCTGATGCGAGCTGCGAGGCTGTGGCCAAAACAGGCGCCGGGATAGCCTTTTTAACGTGTTTTTTTTTCCTCAAGTGCTTGCTACATCATGAGCTCCATTCTTTGAATTCTTTGAGGACATCAATTCCTTCGGAAAAAGAGAAACAGCAGTCACAGTGACGGAGACATTTGCCTATTTGACTCTGCTTGCCAGGGAGACATGTTGTTTCTGCGAAATTCAGCTCACTGTGGGAGGTCATGTTGCTGGGTACTTGCTCTATTGGAGGTGAAAGGCCCAAGGCTTTGCTTTTTGGCGACGAAGGGGCACAAGCAGAAACACATCTGCTTCCTTCGTGTCAAGCATTGCTACTGTACAAATGTCATGATTTTAAAGCTTGACAGCCCCAGCTCGAGGGCCTCTCTTCTTCTGCCATTCACGGGTGTGGATGGCAGTTCGTCGGACGATTTGGGGGAACGCGGCAGACCCACATGTGTCGGTGCCACCGGCAGACTCGAACCCACGTGATCACTTTGGATAGAAGTTGGAATGTGGTTGCACCTGTAGACCAAAACGAGCCTGCAGCAGAAGTTGATGAGCTCTGCAGAGGAAAAGAAGAGACGGAAGCTTCGTAAAGCTGAGCTCCAAAGGGTTTTGGTATGAGTTTGACATGCTGAGCCTGCTGAGCTCCAACTGCTAACGACTCCTTCCGGAGAGAACGCCTAGCTCGAGTGTAGCTCGAGTGGAGTCGCCCAATGTCGAGTCCTTTGGTCCTTTGATTTCTCAAACCAGCTTGAGATTGACATCTCGCTGTGGCTTTGAAATGAGTACATGTGGGTACTGTATCAGAAAGAGCCATTGAAAAGCATTGAAACAAGACCAAAACGGGGGTGATGATTTCACAGCACCACCACTTTGTAACGAAGAGTTCGTCTCTCTAAGAGGCATTGGGTGACATGCTCCGGAGGGGATAGCGTGCACTGTGCGCGACGCGCTGAGTCACTTGTCAACTGGCTGCACTGCATTCAATGTGTCAGCCCAACAGAACCAGCAGTTCATTCGAGAAAAGTGTGTTTGCTTCACTTCATTTTTTGACAAGTTGCATTGACTTTTGCACAGACATGAGGCTTGCATACATGTGTGCATGTGTTACTTAAGCATATTTGTCCACATCTGGAATTGTTTGGAGTTTTGTCCACTCTGACCACACCTACACCTTGTCCGTCTCTTTTGGGCCCAGAGCTTTGGCTTTTGCAGGGCAGCGCATGGTTGCCGCAACAAGCCGTTTTCCACAGAGATTAGTGTCGCCGGCCACACTTGGCGGAGAGGCCTGAGTTTTAGAGGGTGGAACCACTTGTACATGGGCTCTCAACATGTGGATTCACTTGAACAGGTGGAGGCCATGATCGCCGGGCAGTCAGCGCCCTTGAAGGGCAGAACGGTGCAGGCTGGCTGCGTTTTCTTTTCCACCTGACCAGCACAGCGGCGCAGTGTGCTGACGAGAAGAAGCAGATTCCAGGCGACTCCTGGCACTCATGCAGTGACACCACCAATGCAACGGCCCAGTCCAAGCCAGAGCCAGGACAGCGAACTTTGATGAACATCAGGGTTCCATAGGGGCTCAAGAGAGACGATCCGTTCACCGACTGGTGAAAGGAAACAAACAGCGAAAACAGTTATATTATAGTAAATTCCATCATTTGGTCTGAGCCAGCTCCATGTTGAAATCGAGAACATCTCGCGTTTCATGTCATGTCGTGTTTCACATGTTGCCAGTGGCTGGCCTACCTTCTCGCCCCCTTTTGAGGGCCTCACCAGAAGGCTTGCGCCACTATTTGGCTTCGTGGGTGGATTCCTCGGAAACCTCGGAACCCAACTCGTAACAAAAGGCATCGCTACTAGGAGCAAGAAGCTACTAGTAGCTGCTGGCATTACTACTAGCAACAAGAAGCTACTAGGAACAAGGGCATCGCTACTATAT